TCCCCATTCAGCCTCACAAGGAACTAGAAAAGCCCCATGGTATTGTAGGCTCTGCACAGGCACCTACCGAGATATTTAAAACTTGTGCCATCTATCAATATTGGGGGGAAACTTCAGCTCCCTGGAAACGCATTTAGAAATCCTCGTGCTTAATGACTCCGTTAATAGAGTTATCCTCATTTCATGGTGTAAGCTGAAGCGCTTGCCATGAACAAGTGGACCCCTGAAGGACATTACGGACTTTCTGAACCTGCCCATTAGAAAGAGGTCCTGCTGGGGTTGTGGGGTCTGGAGGAGAGAAGAGAGCCTTTGAGGAGAGGCAGGAGTGGGTTTGGAATCTGCCACTCTCAGCTGTAAGCTCAGGGCACTTGTTCTAGGACTCACCTATTAAGTGCATATAATGTATTTCTCTTACGGTAAGGATTAAGTGAAGAAAGTGCTGAGAAGTAAAAGATGTTTAAATGTTAGTTCCATTCCATGTCATGTCTTTTACTTAAATGCTTTAGAAAGAATAGACAAGAAGATCTGTATCTATTTGGTCAATACATTGCCCTCAATAGAAGTTACGTCAGTCTATCAGTGAACCACCATTCGTTTTGGAATATACATACACCAAATTCAAGTGTTCCTTTCGGTATAATTTACCATGTGACCAAGTCCTACTTATTAGGAGTTATTTGCTGTAAGATCTCTGAAACTGAGTTCTGCAAAACATCTGTCTCTCCCGGGGCATTCTGCTTCCTCTAAAACAGTTACCGCCTCCACCTTCAGGGTCTTGCATCCCGCGAGCGCCGGGGCTGTCCTCGCTGCTCCGCTCACAGGGGGCAGGACAGCCGCTCTCTGGACGAGTCTGCGCACAAGAGCCCAGGACCCCCGGGGCCGTCCGTCCGGTCCACGCAGAAAGGAACGTGTCCGATAGGAACCGTGCACGCGCTCAGCCAGAGGCCGGTGAAGACCATGGCGGGAAACGCTTACCTGTACTTTGAACTCTTCTTCGTTCGCTCTTTGGATAAAATATTTGCTCCCTTTTGGACTTGGAAAATGTAAACACATCCCCATACAAGGCAAAAAGTCACTCAACCTTCCAGTCATGGCTTCATGTTGCCAGGCCAGGCTGGTTCCTGATAAACGTCACGGGTTCGTCTAACGTCTGGACTCTCTTCGAATTGCTGTTTTGTAAATCAAAACAAAAACAGTGTTCTGATAGCAGAGATTTTTCTGAAAGGCAGATCAAACGAGAAAAAGGCACGATTCGAAAAGAAGTAGTATTTAACTGGAAACAGGTTTTCAGTAAGTGTCATTTGGGAGGAAAAAGGCAAAACTCAGGAGTCGTTAGTCTTGGTTGAAAGGAATCTCAGACTAAATTTATTTCTGTCAGAATCAACACATTAGACTAGGTAATGTGTATGCCTACTTCTATGTTTTCAAAGTTTTTACCCTGTTCTATATTTTTATTTTATTTTAATTACTATAACAAGGGTCTTAATGCAAACATAACTTTAACCCTCAGAATTCGGGGGGGGGGAATATATATTATTGGTTAGTCGACAGATATAGGTAGGTATCAATATAATCTTGGTAAACAAACCAAGTGAGACTTTATTTCTTGTAACTTCATTTAGGAGAGATTATCCATAAAGATACATCCAACGGCTCACAGCGAGGACTTCTGAGAACTGAGGGAGTGGGCGGGAAGCCCAGATCCAGACAATTTAAAATTCTGTGCTTTCTTTGTTAAAACAGGAGCACACTATACTCATAATTCAGACAGCTTTAAACATTGGTGTGTGTTTTAAGTTAAAGAATCATTAACCTTTTAAATAAATAATCATTATCCTTTAACCCATCAGTGCAAACAACACACAGAACAAGGAGCTAGTATGGGGCAGAATTCTCACTGACATCAATATGCCATCGATTTTTTTTATTTTTAAATGCCCAATAGTTTAACATTTTTCACTACAAATATGTGTTTGCCCCGTTTTTTCTTGTTCGCTATACTCCACAATTTTTGCATATATATATCTCCTCTCTTCCTACACTTTATTCAAATACCATTCTCTTGTTCACAAACCAATCTCTTAGAGAAAAGCTAAAAAAATAAAATAAAAAATGGCAGCCCAAGGGTGACTCGCGGGTAGTCCACAGATGTATTTTTATTTGACTAGAAAAGCATTTTCAAATTAGTTGCCAGTATTTAAAATTTTGAGATTTAACATCAAACTCAAGATTCTCAGCTTCTCTTGTTGTTTTTAAATATATTTTTTATTGATTTTAGAGAGGGAGGGAGAGAGAGATAGAAACATCAGTGATGAGAGAGAATCATTGATCGGCTGCCTCCTGCATGCCCAGTACTGGGGATCAAGTCAGCAACCCAGGCAAGTGCCCTGACCGGGAACTGAACCGTGACCTCCTGGTTCATGGGTCTACGTTCAATCACTCTCTTGAAAGATCAAAAGATCTGCGGACACAGGGCCCACATTCCTGCCTGGCAGCTGGGATTGCTGAGGGAAGTCTCTTAGCTGGTGCCTGCCCTCCTGCTCACCACAGCTCTGCCCACACTCTGCCTCCCCAACAGCCCCTCGGGCATTGCTTTTTGTCTTATGGTGAGTAGGAAAGTAATTTCTTACTTACACCCTTATATTCCTTTTTTTAATAAAGGGGGCTCAGTAACAAAAGGAATATCAAGGAAGCCAAAGGTTTCAAGAAAAAAAAGGGGGGGGGGATGCATATTTCCTTATGGAAGTGAATATAGCTAGCGTTCCTGTGTTTGGTAGGCAAACAAAGGATGTCCATGTTGAAATAGCTGAATAACCACAGTAAGAAGTCAGCATGGAATAGTAAAAAGCATGGAAAAAAAAGTGAGGGCCCGGCCGGCATGGCTCAGTGGTTGAGCCTGGGCCTATGAACCAGAAGGTCACGGTTTGATTCCCGGTCAGGGCACAGGCCCAGGTTGTGAGCTGGATCCCCAATGGGGGGCCTGCAGGAGGCAGCCGATCCATGGTTCTCTCTCATCATTGATGTTTCCTCTTTTCCTCCCTTCCTCTCTGAGATCAGTAAAAATATATTTTTTTAAAGTGAGGAATTTGCTTTTAAGTGGAAACACGTAAATGTGATACTTTTGTGAAACGCACTGACGTGTTAACGAAAAGACTGTTCTCCTGCATCTAACTACTCCTCTCGCATTGGTTGATTGGCCTTACGTGTACTTGAGTTCGTTCTGCCATTTAGAAACACACCAGAGAGATGCCCACCTCATCACCTACCCCCTCCTCCTCTGTGCCCTTGAGGATCAGCAGCCAAAGCCGCCCAGCCCAGCAGCTCCTCCTCCTGCCCTGAACGCACTCCCTCCGCGAAGAGAAGGGGCAGCTGTAAACACTCCTCTTAACTCTGCAGCGTCACGCTCCTTCCTCCCACACGGGCCCTCTCTCCCCAGGCCCACAGCCTGGCAAGGGGCCCGCGTGAGGAGCTGAGCCTCTCCTTGGCTAACATGTTCCTATTCATTCCACAAGGTCACCGGCCCTCAGTCACAGCTGCAAACACTCAGGGCAGACCTCCAGCCCCGGCTCCGCCCCCTGGGAGAGTCAGGGATGGGTTCCAGGCAGCAGCCAGCCCAACGGAGGCCTCTGCAGTCTGTTCAGAAGTCACGCGCAGATCAGTAGCTGCGGGGTGAGGCCACAGGCTCCCAAGCTCCCAATTCATGGGGAAGAAAAGGCGCCCCTGATCCTGTGTGAGTCACAACTGCACCCCAGGACCAGTACATGGGGGCACCCATCAGTAAATATGTGTTGAATATAGACTGTGGCTCTACTCTCGGGACGATCAGAAGGAATCTATTTTTTAATATGTTTTTATTGATTTCAGAGAGGAAGGGAGAGAGAGAGAGAAACATCCATGACAGAGAATCATGGATCGGCTGCCTCCTGCACACCCCCTACTGAGGATGGAGCCCGAAACCCAGGCATGTACCCTGGCCGGGAATCAAACCGCGACCTCCTGGTTCATAGGCTCATGCTCAACCCCTGAGCCACGTTGGCCGGGCGGAATCTGTTTCAGCTGTCATGAGTTAGGCTCGGCTTCTAGTGATAGGAGACCACCCCGTCTCCAGTCCCCGAAGTGCTTCCGTAGGATTTGACTCCACCAGGACAGCGGGGAGGTGGGCAGAGCTGGCTTTATGCTACCACCCCAGTTCACAAAAAGAACAGAGAACTCCGAGCTCATGCGGTTCCTCCCGGTCCAAGCAAGGGGGCCGGCCTCACGATCACTAGTCCCCCCGCCCCACCGCCCTGCCCGGCCACCCGTCACTAGAGCGACACAGCCATGACGGGTCACCAAGAGCTGTGGCCCTTCACAGAGAACAAAACACACGATCAAAACAGAGGACTGGTGACAAAATAGGTTGTTTTAAAAAATTAAAGAACACAACTGAGGCCAAAGCCATCAAGATTTTAAAAATAGTTTTATATAGAAATATTTTACAAAGATTTTACAACGTAGCAAATCATGACATACCATAGAAAGAAGAAAAAAGACTCGACCTCAAGGATTAGGAAAGTGCTCATCGTGACGTATTGCCGTCTCCACGAAAGTGCATAAACGTTAAGGCAGAGTGCCTGCTGGTACTGGCATGTTGCAAAAGGACTCGCCAAACAGTTTTTAAAAATATATACAAACGTATTGAAAGGAATTCGTTTAGGGGCAGTCTTGCTCTGCGACTGGATAAAAATAGCTCCTGGGTACAATCAAGGGGAAAATGCTCCACCCCAGCGAGCTCCTAACAAGTCACATGACCGACAACACAAACCCTTTCCCTGTGGGTCTGCTTTCCATTCAGCCTGCGGGCAGCAAGCAGACTCCCTCCGCGGCTGGGAGAGGCCCAGAGGGGGTGGCGGGAGTTACCTCCAGATCTTGGCCCTTCGGTGCGAGTTTCTGTGGCCAGACTGTTGGCGCGCTGGAAGTCTTTATGCATTCAGTGTTATAAATCTACTGTGCAGCGTTGCTTCTACGTGCAGCGTATTAGCATTTTAGAGTGCTGTGTAGGTTAATACGGTATGTTGCCCTCTCTGATAATACAAATACCAAGGTGCTCTCTAGAGTTCAACCATAACCCTGTTAGAGAATTCTACTGAAATGTGTTGTTTTCCATTTATATAAATCCCTTAAGATTGTCAGGATCAATGGGGATAATACTGGTTATGAAACTTTAGTCTTCCTGCTAGGAGGAGAACTGGTTTTTATAATGGAATAAAACACAAAGAAAAGAAAATTAGCTGGACTTGAACGAGAGTGAGTCTTAGGGCAAACTGACATCTGAATTCTACTACAGAGAATAAATATCTGCCAAAAATTAACTTAATTCACCCGACTCACCACTCTTTTATGGAAAATTTTCTCTACTCGGTAGAAACGGGGGAAAATCGGTATATGTGCCATTTTAGTCTCTATCTTTAGACTTTTTCCTTTCCTACTTTTTCCCCTCCTGAAATGGAAGGGAAGCCAACCAGTTCACTCAGCTGACTGAGGTTTCGGAAACAGCGAGCGTTTAGCCTCCAAGACACCGTTGTGGTAAAACGAGAGGGACACCGGCCAGCAGGGGCATGTGAAGCACAAAACAAGCACGCGCTCTGCGTCACCTAGCAACGGGTCAGCCGGCGAGCCGGGCTCACACAGCAGACGTGGACGCTTGGTCTTCGCTCGGGACGTCCTTTTCGACAGGACCGCAGGCGAAAAGCTTGTTGCCCAGGGTCTTCTGGGCAAACCGGAAATACATGATGTGGCCCATGGCCACGAAGGAGACGGAGATGAGCACGAGCAGGCCGAAGGCCTCCGGGTTGGGGGCCAGGATCACCATGATGAAGTGCAGGAGGTCGAGAAGGTAGTTCATGGAGTTCTGGACACCGTTTATAATGCCTCTTTCTGATTCTATTACATTTTCTTGCAGCAACTGTGTCACAGTTAAATCGAAGGACCAAAGGCCTGTGATGAAGAATATTTTTTTAGAAACGGTCAGTCTCTAGAATTTATAGCCATATATTTCAGACTTATAGGTTGAAAATCTGTCGACACGTGAAAAAGTCACGTTGGCCCCATTTCTTTAAAGCCACCATATGTATATTGATCACAACCTTGCCTTAGAGAGTTATTTTTCATTAAGAAACAGTCCTGGGTTACCAGGGGCTCTAAGAAATGATGTTTACAGCCACCTGACTCTGCAAACTTCTTAATTCTGTTTCTCTGTGATTATTCATACTATGAAAGCACAGCTCTGAAATCACAGACATAATTCCATCCTAAGTACAGTCATGTGCCAAACAATGATGTTATGGTCACCGACAAACCACATATTCAATGGTGGTCCCGCAAGGTTCTACTAGAGCTGAAAAATTCCTATTGCCTGGTGACATCATAGCCATGGTGACATGCCAGCGAGATGTGTTACACGTTTGGATGATGCTGGTGTAAACACACCTACTGCACTGACGGATGTAGAAAATATAGCACGTTCAGTTACACCCAGTACATAATACTTGATAATGATAATACCTGACTATGTTATTAGTTTATGTATTTACTATACCAACCTTTTCTCCTTATTTTAAAATGTTCTTTCTACTTATTAATAAAAAAAAGTTTGCCTGGACGGTGTGGTTCAGTGGCTTGAGCGTCACTAGACCTGTGACCCAGGAAGTCACGGTTGGGTTCCCTCCTGGATCCCCAGTAGGGGGCGTGCAGGAGGCAGCCAATCAATTATTCTCTGTCATCATTGATGTTTCTCTCTCTCTCCCCCTCCCTCTCCCTTCCTCTCTGAAATCAATAAAAAAGATAAAAAATAAAAGTTTGCTGTGAGAGAGTGTGTCGTGTTATGCTGGCAGCAGCCTCGTCTGTCTCAAGTTACCGCGTCTCCTGGTTGCGTCACTTCTCTGGTGCTTGATTTAAGCTGGTGTTTTGCACAGGAGCGAGCTGGGCAGGCTCGGAGGCTAAGACTCACAGGCATGCCATCGGCCTGGTGGACAGTAGGCCGTGCCATGAGGTTTGCGTGAGGCGCCCCTTCGTGCTCACACAACCAAACCGCCTCCCGGCACACTTCTCAGCACGTTTCCGCCTCGTTAAGCGGCACATGACTGTGCTGGTATTTTTCAAGTTTAAATGAACTGACCTATATATTGTCATGATTACAGTGTAAGGAAACGTTAAACCATTATTACCTTTACTGCTTGGGTTCTAAAGCCCCTGCAATAAAGCTGTCTCACTTGGAATATTAATGTCTCTGATAAATTAACAAACTGCTTTGTACCAGAAGATAAAAATACGGTTTCATTTCCAGAATAATCCCTCAGTACTCTATTAATGATTACTTACATTTTGCTTTGTAAAAGAAGTCTTTACACTAGGTTGCCTTCCAGAGCTGTAAAATCCATTTGTTTGGCAAAGTATATAATAAATACAGGAACCTTTGGAAGGTTTTTTCCCTAACTGCCATGTCCTTTTTAAAAATTTAAACCAAAAACACCCACCAAGTTGTGTACTTATCATTTTGCCTTGTACCATAGAAACATTCTCCAAATTATAGTCCTATGGGGAGAGTTATAGCCATATAAAGACTCTAAATTACCAAAGGCAATATAATTATCATCGCTAATCTCTTTTTAGGAGTTAATTAATAACATTACAACAGCAATACTTAAAATATCCATTTAGGAAAAACTTTCAAGCTCTAACCACGTTTTATAAAAGCACAAATATACTTTTCTGAACTATAAAAATGCCATTATGAGAGACTATTATACATAAGGGTGGACAGGGAATTCTGCTTATATGAACACTCAGGGAATATTGGTGAATTCTCTGAACCCCTACTGCAGGCACTTTATTTTGTGTTCATATGTCTTTTTACTGATTTCAGAGGAGAAAGGAGAGGGAGAGAGAGTGACATCCATGATGAGAGAGAATCATGGATCGCCTGCCTCCTGCACGCATCCCGCACTGGGGATGGAGCCCACACCCCGGACATGCGCCCTGACCGGGAATCTGTTACCTCCCAGTTCACGGGGCGACGCTCAACCCCTGAACCCCGCAGGCCAGAGCCCCCC